ATATGAGGATTTTAATTTCAAGTCGATCGGATGAGACCGAAGCCTTTGTTTACATCCGCGAGATCAATGAACTTTCTTACTGCGGCCTTGTCAAGGTCATTGACCGCACGTGACTCGTAGTAACTAGGTCACGCGACCACTCGGTCACCAGTCACGTGCGCGAAAGAGAGAGGTCCAGCGCGACGCGTCAGACAAAGACAGCGATAGTCAAATTGGAAAAAATTACCCCTTTACATAAATTACGATATCTCGAAAACGGAAAGTCCGATCGACAAAAACCAAAAAGCAATTTCAAAGAGGAAGGTTTACCCCTTCCAACCGCGGTTGAATTTTGAATAAAGCATACATAGTTTTAGAACTACACGCGTCCAAAGTTTTACTATTTTTAATACGCGTTATTACACTGTTCTAAAGCAGTGGAAATCTATCTTTTCTTTTGCAAAGAAATATAAATAGTATAAACTGTCAGATGACCGGTCATGGTAGGTTTAGTGTTAATACGAGGACGTTTATCACGAGTATACATACTTTGCCCCAGCTCATATTTTATACAACGAATAATTTTTCACGGTCTCGAAACAATTATTTTTAATTTATTTAGTTTTATTTCGCGAGCGTACAGGTACAAACACCTATGAGCATAAAACAAACAGGATCGTTTAGACCGAGTGTACGTAAGTAAGTGAGAGGCAAGGGTGCAGCTATTGTTTAAACCCAACCTCGAATACATTATACAATGTACAATAATTATAACAGTAGAAGAAAATATCAAAATCAACGAGTAGGCAACAATGATTTAATAAACTTGTAGTGTCCAGTAGTTTGTAGACGTGTACGAAAAGAAGGCTTGAGACTTGGACGTTTGGTGACCTGGGATAGATATATAGGGTGTCCCTAAAATAAAGGGCTAGAATTTTAAAATATATTCTACTCGTTGTAATAATAAAGAAACATCGTGAATATAGATTCATACACGCTTTCTTTACAGCATCTGAAGTCAAACAAAAACATGAAACATTCGATTACTTGGAGACGAATAACTCACGAACCTATGTTTATACGACACTTTCTGGTCATTAAAATAAGTAGACTATATTCGTAAAATTTTGCTGTTTATTTTAAGGGCACCCTGTATGTGTTTGGGAACGAGTGGGACGGGCATTAGCAGAGTGGTACCAGAGATTGGTACGAATGAGATTGTAGAGATACTGCGATATACAGGCGGATAGGGTTTCGAAAACTAGTCAAGGCGACTTCACGAACAAAGGAGAAATCTGATCGTCTTTGGGAATACGGAGGAGAAACGAGGACAGGAATTTTTGGATATTTGGCATTCGATACGAGAAATTGAAAAATCCGATATTCACCGATTTTGGTATCAACAGGCATTCACTTCGCAGCATTGGCGAAATTGTAACCCGAAACGTAGGTTGGTTAAATTAAAGCGAGAAATAGTTTCCAGTTGAACACGATATTGTTCCCTCTACGGTTCCGGAAACGTGCGGTAACGTTCGATTCGTTTCATTATTGCCGGAATACACTCCGAGCAGAATTATTTTTCCAGATTTACGTTAACCACGGTTTAATTGCTGTTCGTTCGGAGAATTTTCTTACTCGTTCCACGTGGAGCTTTCGATGGAAATAAACATGCTCGATGTTACGTGGCAACGTGAAACTTTACTCCCGTCTTTTCGTGTTCCTCGCAAGGATTCTCGTTTCGGAAATACTGTTACAGAACATGCTCCCGCGTATCAGCGGATTATCGAGCTCAAGATGAAAATACTTCCCTCCACTTCGCAGATACGCGGCATTTTTGTCTTTATTTTTCTTTGGAAAGTTTCGACGATAACGGTGGTTATTTATCGCGAATCCTCCTCTCCCAGAGTCCGTATATCAATGGGGTTTGCCTCCCCCGTCCCCCCTTCCTTTTACCCTCTTTTAGCAAGGATAAGAGTCCTTTCAGAAACTCGATGAAATTTCGTGTCCAGCTGACCGCAATTAATATTTTATTTTTTTGCTTTATCTACGCCAATGCGGTCGGTTTCCCGCCTTACATAGGAAATTCATGGCACATGCTCCCGAGTTTTAACGATCTTGGTGAGTTAACGTCGGAGAATTACTTGCTTTTATGATTAAAAGTTTTACGTCACCGACGCGGTCGAAAAAAAATTATTAACAAGATTAAACCACACTTTTGGAAACTGAAGTTTAGTACTTTGTAAAAAGAATGAATTTTTTATTCGTTGTTCGCTGTGCACGTTTTTAAACTCGTAACGTCGACCGAGTACGCGAAACACGGATAATTCTTTCTAAAGAGAGATAAAGAATCATATTTTGTAAAAATTAGCGAAAAAACGCGACACCCTATTGAATTTCGTGAGAAAATTCGGGGATAATGTGGGTACAGAGCTATATAATTATGCACCGCGTTTAAATCCTTTAATTTCATAGAATCGTATAATTAGTCGGGTGTTTTCCAATCGAATTAACGTTATCGGAAAGTAATGTTAACAAACAATGTGAACAACGAAACCTGTACTACTGTTTTTGAATACCGTTTCAAAGTGAATGTTTATCGGTGCATTATAGTCATCGCTTATCATTAGTATCAGTTCGAGTTTCAATTTAAACCTTTAAATTGTTCATTTGTAGAAACGGGTTTATCGTTTAAATGTTATCGACAAGTATCGTTTTTGGGGGATTTGTAATTTTGAGTTTAAAATTACAGATTTAATTAGTTGCAACAACCGTTTGTTTGCGATTCTTTCAGAACGTTTATAGAAAAAAAAGACTGTATATTAATTAACAGCGTTCAATATCGAAACATTTTTAATTAACTCGCGAACCTTGTTGCAGATGATGCATAATTTGTCCAACGTTCATAATGAAAGTTATGCTCTCATGAATTATTAATTTCTTGGTAACCATTAACACACAGATACCTGCTAATAACAGCTAGTTTAAACAACCAATGAGATACACGGAAATCGATTTACAGGTATTATTAATTTACGAAATTCCGTATGTACAATACATATTATTAATTTCACTTACTTAATACGAATTCGATGTAAAATAGTTTCCTGTATTTGATCATTCCTATACCTAATACGCTCTTTCTTTCCGCGTTTCTCTGTATCTTTCACTATTTTTCATTCACGATTTATCTTGCTGACCTATTTCCCATCTCTTTCTCTCCCCATTTTATATCTTTTCGCTGATTCCATCGTTCTTTTCTTTTAGTCTTCTTCCTTTCCTCGCAATTTCTTGCCTCTGTTGTTTTTTCCGTTCACCACCGACGAATATACGGAGACTACAGGGGCTCGAGTTCCCCGGAAACTAAAAAAATCTGTTATTTGAATCTCGGATCGTTCATATTTTGTTAACCTCTTCCGGTACCCAACCTTTCGGGTCTTCTCTCGTTCGATTTTTGTCCCTTCGAAGTTTCATTTCGTTCCGATAACGGACCATCGATTTCATAAACTCCTTTCGTCGGAAAATGGTGGCGCGTTATGCCCTCAAAGTCAGATTAATATCTTAATCGCACCCCTCGATGGAAATACAAATATTCGAGCAAAACTAGGAAGCTTTTGTTGAATGAGAAACAATGCAGCGTATTCTCGCGCTGGGGAAACCGACGATTTTTCTGGTGTTTCACGGAACGCCCCAATCCTCTCTTGATTAAACGCGCCATTAATTCCACGGCACCCGAAACGCTCTTTTACACAGAATGGAAAGTGCTTCTTGAGCGCGGTTCATTTATTTCGTTCCGAAAATAAATACTCGAGGATCGATAGAAATTTCCAAGTCGCGAGCGACGCCCAAATGATCCATCGATCGATAAAGAAATAGCTAATACACGGACTCGGTCGAATAAATAGGAAATTATTCCGAGTCGTTAACGAAGCCAGGAAAAAGTTTTCCCCGTAAATATAGCGCGATTTAAGCAAAATCGTATGCACGAACGACGTTCCCCCGAGGTGGGCGGGCTTTGCCGCCCACTTTTTGCGGGCATTAATATTCGAGAAGAAACGACAGTGCAGAAAATAGCTCGCTCGTAACGATACTTTTTTCCACGACGATAATGTTGCTACCTCGATGACCACGAATTCGTCCTGTTGAACGAATTCCTCCCTCGCCGGTACACGTTATTTATTATTTAGATACAGCTCCTGCAAAGTGGCCACGAGCCTCGTCTTTAATTAATCAACTGTAGGTACTCTGTATGGTCAGATTATGGGGGTTCCAAAGTGATCGAAGGAGCACGTCTATTGGAAAAGATGGTGACGCTCTTTAGGGCCTCCAATGCTGCGAACGAATGCCTGTTTCAAACTTCTCTCAGGTCCATAGAGTCGGTGATTTAGATCAGATTATGCCTATTTTAGTTTCGATCGTTATTTATCAGACTTCTATTAGAGAGACTGCAAAAGTCTCTGTTGCTTATCGATTTCACGTGTGTATTTCCTTCGTCACTGTGAAGTTTGTTCCCCGAGCTGGTGGAAAATTGATCGCAGTGCGGGATTCGCGCGAATCTTCCAACGGGAGAGAATCGCGGTGCTTTGAACAGGATTCCTGGGAATCAGAGTAACGTTTTCGATCCGAAGAAAAGGTGAGCCCCCGGTGTTTTTCCCCTTCGACGACTGTACGGTTTTGTCCGGTACGAAAGAACAACTTTCCACCGCGGAGCAGCTTTTTCTAAACGATACTCTAAGCAGCTACGCGAGCTCTTGCATCGACGTTAAAGCAGTTTAAGATCAATCGCGTCCTCTTTCTCGAGGATCAGACACTCGATCCCGGACCTAACCCTCTCGGTTCGATTCCTATTCTTCGCTTTTATCGGTCGGCTGTTTTAAAACCGGGGATTCACCTAGGTCTTGATCCCCGGATTGTCAGTCGTTCGGACGATCCAAGGGACCGACGTTCGTGCCAATGGTTGAGCACGATCGTCGGATACGAGTACGTAACGGATCATTGAGCACGCTGGGCTACGACTGTTTCAGGAGTGACCATCTTGTTATCGCTGACGGTGTTCCTGAACCTCGTCGCCGAGACCCTGCCCCAGGTCTCCGACGCTATACCCCTGTTAGGTACATTGACTTTTCTGCAAATAAAACGTGTGTCAGTGTGTGTTTATGCCGCTAGGGTTCTCGGAATGCTTTTCAACCCGCCTTCGTTTCCCTTTCTCAGTCGATCATCCTTGTTCCGAACACTTTCCTCTGCTCTTCTATCGCCAGCGAACCTTTTTTTTGACGAGAAGATATCAATGTTTGGAACTTGATTTTTCCATAGTACGGTGCACTCGTTGTATTTAGGAAGCGATTGGACGTTTAAACAAAGGTGCATAACGCGTAAAGTTTGTTCGTTAACGTTGTTTATCGTTGTTTACGGCAGATACACAATCGTCGGACGCAAATCTAATCGCGGGCAGCGTTCGCTCGCACGACTACAATGCCGAATTCTCCCCCTTCGGACGAAAGTTTTTCCCAACAATGCTCGAATTCACGCGTTGTTACTCTCCTACAGGCGCAAACAAAGGAACCACGTCGGAAGAAATTTCCTTTCTCCAGTTCCAAACGACCCTCCCTTGCACCGTAGTTCGGAAACTTCGCCGCCAACTTACCGGGATTTAATTGAATAAGTTCGCGTCTGAAACGCGACAGGTCGCTGTCACCTCGCGCAGGAACCCGAAATCCACTAACCCGGGCACGAGTTTTATCCCAAACAACGATCAAAAGTAGCCAGGGAATTTTGAAAGAAAATAAAATGTTAGCAAGGATAGAACAGAAGCGCCCAAACACTTGTTTCACGAATTAAACAGACTCTGGATTCCAGTGATATGCAAATAGGCGAAACGTTGCTTAGAAGTCATAGTTGGCTTATAGAGCGGTTTAAATGCAAAAAGGGTATTCTATTTTCATTCCCCAACGCAATGGAAACGTCGCGTCTCGAAAGCACGGAATGAACAAAAAGGGCCTGAAACGTTGCTCGTGGAAACTTTGACCGTTCGTGTATCCCTCGTCTCGACGAGCCTGCTGTCGAAAGGGCTCGTCGATCTTCCGCTCGAAAGCTCCAGCCATCACCGACTACGTCGAGACATTATTTCCACCTGGAAAACGCACGGTTGCGTCGCGGAATTTCCTGTTGCAAGCTCGACTCTAAAAACTGTTGCAATACGCAAGTTTATTCGAAATTAAACTAACAAAGTTTCCATTAGATTCTTGGAATTAAAGTGGGTCTGTAAGAGCTCCCTAAAAATATTTTTAGAAGAAGTTTGCGAACCCCTGCGTCAGGTGACGGTTTCCTGTTCCGGAGGTTTGTTTTATCGGTGATCGAAGTAAATTAAAATGCTTGAATCGTGCCCGTGGTGGTGGATTCGTCGTCGACGCGGTGTCTTTGTTCCCTGGGCGCGTTCTGTTTCCCTCGACCCGGTCCGATTTCACGTCGACGTGCCCCTGTCGATGCGTCAACGCCGAAGAAATCGGCGTATCCTTCGTCGTGCATGACACCCGCGATATTGGAACGCGGGATCGTTCGAGAAATTAATCGGAGAGGAATCGAGATACGGGGAGAGAGCGTAGGTGTGCCCCGGAGAGGAAAAGAGCAAACGGAACGAAAGTAATTTGTCTCCGGAGACACGGACACGCGTTGAAAGGATCGCTAGATCTGAATAAATTCACCGACGAGTTTTTTTCGAAATTTTCTCCGCCAGATGCTTGCTCGTTTCGTTGAAATATCGATGCAATCGCAAAGTGCTTGTTCGTTGGCGATGTTGGACCACGGAGTGTCAGAGATGTTCGAAAGGTGTATAAAGTGCCGTGGCGCGGGATAGGTTTACTTAATTATCGTACTCAGTTCGGGAACGTGTACTGCAAAGTGACGTTAAACGTATTTACTCTTCTCTCGACTCGAGATCGAACCTCTTAAGCGTTGTAACAGACGTGCTTTCCAGCAACTCGCGACTGGAATTCGTGGAATATGTTTCGAGCTTAAAGCGATCAAGACCGATAAAGTTTCTTTGCTCCTAATCCTGCGGATACATCGCTCCTCCTCCTCGAGCTTTTCCAAGCCTTTCAAACCGTAACACTTTCATCTCCGGTCATTACGACACAACGACTACTTCTTGGCGAATCTCTTTCTTTCCGGACGGAGACGAGTACTTTAATTATCCAAGGCCTTTGTGTCCCCGCGCGATATTAAAAGCGCGAAACGGTCGCATCTGTAGGGCTTCAATTATATTCAAAACGCCCAACCCGGCCCTCCCCCCCGCCACTCGCCGCAGACCGCGTCCGACGAAAGCGTCGGAACTTCCGATCTCTTTCATTCGAGCACCCTGCCCGGGACAATTCGAGCAAAAGGAATCGTTTCCCTTTGTCCCGCCAATTGCCCGACATTTTATGCTACTTCAGCGCGCCGAGTATGGCGATCGTGTTCAACTCTAATCTCCTTCACAAGATCCTCTATAACAAATTAAATACTAACACCGGCAACATGTCCCATCGAAACTAATTTCACTACAACGATAATGTTAGAAACGAGTGCACCGTTCGACTTGTCGTCAAATTAAAATATTTCCAAATATCATTTAAAAAATTGCTTCTTCCAGCATCCTACGTGTACGAGTGTCTGTGAAGCGTGGAAGCGAATGCTTTTTTAATAGCTACCTTCGAAGCGTATATCGATTGCTTAAAATATTCTTAATTAATTTAAGGCGTCTAACATAAAAAGGATAATTAAAAAGGATTCTTTCGAAGGCCGTTCTCGCGACCAGAATAAATTCCTCTTCTCTCTCTGTCTCTTCGTACTTATTTCTTTTTTCTTATTGTTTTTTGCTTTCGTGCGCGAACGATCGCTGTCTTCTTTACGCGAGAACGATAATAATTGCCTGACTTCGTGTCCCTTCGAGAGCAAATAGACACCCCCCGCGAATACTATTATAATTGCTCTTTTCCCCACCCTCCCCGGTGCCAGCTAATAAATAAAAGATAGACGGGCAGTAATTTAGCGATAAGCGAGATCGCAATTTAAAATATTTGAAGGAGAAATGAAATTAGAATCGTTTCCGTGAACGATGCGTCGACAGCTTGAACAACATGGCTCCCCCGGGGGGTAGCCTCCTTTTCCCCCCCGCGCTGTCACAGCCCTGTTTCCATTCCCCATCGAATGTGTCATACAATATCGCGCCGGTTTCGTCTCATTGTTTCACGGCAATCGATTCTCGCCCGCGAGTCGGCGGAAGTAAACAAAAAAAAAAATTGAAAAAAGAGCGCGTTACGTCGAAAGTCAAGCAGAAACAATTTGTTCCGCGGCCCATTGAAAATGGCTGGGTTTTCATACGCCGGCCAGACGACGCTGCACACGAGTTTTGAACCGCGGGGACGCGTGTGTTCTTCGAAGAGAATAATTTACCTTAAGAGCAATTGATTTTCCAATAAACCAACGTGGCGGGAAAATGTTTGCCAACGCTCGAGGACCGCGAGGATGCAACGAGCGATGAAATGCGTCGAGTTACTCGGCAGAGTTTCAACCCTGGAACGCAAACGACGCCCGTGATATCGCGTTAAGAGCTCACGGATCCACGATACCGTACAAAACTTCCGTCACGTTCGCGACAAATTTCGAAATTATTTAAAAAACTATCCTAGATATTCACCGACGATCGAACAGTCTACACTGGGAGATCGTTGTACGGTGCGTGGCGCGCGTAAAAAACAGGATTTGGCCGTGATAATAAAAGGGCAAAGGTGGATAAAAAAGGTCGAGAAGAATACTGACTCGAACCTCAACGATGTCTCCGGGGTGGTACTTGCGCAAGCTGTAGACGCATTGTTCGTTTACCAGTCACGTTCGAACCGTTTCGCCTCGGTTCCCGCTAAGAACACTCGACGATCGTTTTCTTCCCTTCGTTTTCACGTGCTCTCCTTTTCAGCCTTTGCACCCCTCGAATCCGTGGTATTTTTATTTTACACCTACCTTGGCCTTGTCCGCCCCCAGCACAACCTGATATCTCGTTAGCGCGATCATAAACGCCTCGACCCTCCGCCCCCACCCATCTTTTTATTTTATTTTTCTAAATAGACTCTGCGCTAGTAATAGTATTCCGGAAATATTGCAATAACCTGACAGCGTTTCAGAACAAACTACCTACCCTTCGATTCTCGTTGAGAAGCTGGCACCGATCGCGTGAATTTTCAACAACGAATCCAGTCTCGGTTTATTTCCTGCTGCCCCACGACTTTCTCTCCTTTCCTTCTTTTACCATTTTAGAAAATTCTACTGTCGCTTTGCTACATCTTTTTCTCTCTTCGAGTCTATACGTTTTGTCTTATATACATAGTGTTCTGCACAATATACTCACGTACGCTGTTTACTTGTTCGTTCGCTTCGTATTCTCGTATATTTGTCAAGCAATGCGTTACCAACAACACACGGACACCAGAACACCCACGTACACGTACACGTGCAAACACCATTCTCAAAAATACCAACAATTTCAATACTATTATGAATAATATGTATCAGCTTCCTTTGCAGTTGGAGATGGACAAAATTTATTTTATAAATTAAGAATATAAATCTCTCGAGCGAACTTTCGAAACTCAAGAAAGTTTTGTTCTTAACTTATATTATCAGGTAATTAACAATTGTTTCAACCTGGTCCATTATAGGAGCGTAGAATAGAAGGTAATATCTGGGTACTATCGACTTAAAAAAACGTGAATTTGACAAGACGATGCTATTGTTTCGTTGGATAAAGTGAATCGAATGAAAAGCTCTGTCTTTGGACGATGTTTCTTGAAAGCACTGCAAAGGAACTTTGCACTTTGCCTTTTAATCCGGGGTCCAGGCAATCCATTCCCTCTTCTGGAACAACAATTACGCGGAGTTTAGACACACAGAAAGGTAATCACCGACATTCGCCACACGCTTCTGCCAACGATGTTTCTTGGGAACCGACTCGAAGGAACTACGCGCTTTGTCTTTTCCCGCCAAATCTTGACGATCCTTTCCTACGCCGAAACTACGATTATGTAAAGTTTGGAAAGACAGGAAGGAAATATCTGGTGCGACGCGATAACGCTAGACTTAC